GTGCTACCAAGTACTGACATCACTCAGATTTTCTCAGATTCAAATACTGACTACTCAGACCAGAAACATTCAGATTTTTGTCTTGTTTTGTTTTAAATATATGGTAATAAACAGATACAACATAGAAACAAAGCCAAACAAAAACTTTCAAACTCACAGTCTTTTTTCCCTAATTTATTATAAGCTACTTGCTATTAAATAGTTTTCTCATAATCTTTGACATTGTCTTGAATTTCATTTGTATGTGCGTGTGTCTTTAGAGACCAGACTTTTGGAAATGTACTTGCTATTGCTTGATTTCATGATACCTTTCCACATCCTCCTAAAAGAACCTGTAGAATATCTCAAATGTTAAATTAAGGTAGGTTTATTTTGAAGGTGATGGATACGTTTGCTATCTTGGTTGTCGTGACATAATAGTTTCACAGGTATATACATGTACATTATCAAAACTTACCATATTTACACTTTAAATATGTGCAGTCTATTGTATGTCAATCATACCTCAATAAAGCTATTCAAAAATAAAAGTGAATTTAAGTTTTCTATTGAAATGTGTATGCCTCTCCTAGAAATAACTGAACACCTACTTTGGGATATGTGCCAGATGGCTTCCATTTGCCCTCCAAATCCATACTCTGCCTCTGTCCTGCTCTGCACCCTGGGAAGCTGACCCTGGGGTCCAAATCAAAGACACCCTTGCTTCCTGGCTTCTGATTAGCTTCAGCCACTGGGGAGCCAGTGGACAGAGACCGGAGAGAGGAAAGGGCCTCAGACTGCCAGGCGGTCTCTACTGTAGGCCATTCTGAAAGTAGCCTTCTCTACAGGACTCTCTCTTTCTAGGTTCTGGCAAGTTCCCTTCCCTTTCCTTCCTTCTAGTGTAGGGGTTGTAACAGCTCCACTGGGTTATACACTATCCCTGTGTTCCCTCCTTTTTAAGTAAGTCCCTTTGTAAATTAACCCTCCCTAAATTACTTTAATTTGAATGTGCCATCTCTTCCCAGCTGGGATCATGAATGATAAGGATGTTACCATATCCAGGCTGGGAAAGGAAAACATTCCTCTCAAAACACACGCGCGCGCGCGCGGGTGGCGCACACATACTCACATAGCCCCCAAATCACAGAAGGAGTCATCTATGGTTAACACTAGACGTTTATCAATAGAAAATTAATCCTGGGTTCAAAAACTTCATAATAAATACTAATTGGCAACAGAGCAGGATAAAGAAAGATAATATTTTATGGAATTCAGAAGATCCAGCAGTGGAAACAAATACTAAGTGCGAATTTCTTAAATGGAAAGCTCATCCATCACATGCAGACAATTAACTCTGACAGCTGCAAAGCACTGCCAAGGGATGCTGTGCAATTCGCTTTTCCTAGGCCATGGGCACCACGCCAGGTGGTCAGCTGAAGGCTGCTTCTATTATCTACAATCATATGGAGCAGGGAATTTGTTCTTTTCAGTTCCTGAGAATTTATTTGACAGAGCATTTTTATGGCATTACTGGGGAGTGGAAGCCAAACTCTGGATGTCGGCCAAAAACATGTTTTTGGTCTGTTCAAACACTATTTGAAGGAAGGAAGCTGTAATGTGTAGAGAAGTTGTAAACAAGCAAATGCTGAGCTGGTTCCAACCCAACACTTTAGTTTAGCAGAGAATTATAGTGCCATGCCATGCTTCATGGCGCAGGATGATAACAGGGCACCAACAGGAATCAAAAGAAAAAAGAAGCATCCTCTTATAAATGCAACAGCATCTAAAACAATCCCACTCTAATACCCATCTTCAATGAGAGTATGTGTGAATGGAGAAGGTCCTATACATAATACATGCAAGACCAAAGGGATTCCTCTCTCTCTACCATGGGTAGCTGTCTCTTCTTCATTTAACCAAATCCTCTCTCGAGAAACAGCTTCTCCTAAAATTTTACTTGACCTTCAAGGATGCCCTCTGCAAAGGCAAAGGATTTACAAATTCAGCGAAGGACGTGGCTTGTCTCTGGGTTCTTTCTGTGAGATGACTCATGAGAAATCCTTGTTTATATGCTCTGTTGCACATAAAAATGTATTTGATTCTGTGAGTTATTCAGTCCTCTGTAGATCTAGAAGATACTAGCAATGTAGTAGTCTCATGAGCTTAAAAGAGAAAAACCGATCTCCAGGATCCAATCTACTGAATGGGGGTGGGGTGGGGAGGTGGATGGTTTCCACATCAGGACCTCTTACAATGCCTCTTTCTGAGGTCCAGGCAGTCTATTGATTATCTATTTGGCAGCTCAATACACAATATTTCAGCTACAATTATAATAAACTCTCCCAGGGACTAGGTGAACCACTGCTACACACATGGCAATGGAAGCTACTGTATTTCTCTCCTAACCTCAACAGTGTTGAGTTAACATCGAGTTGAACAGAATGAAGGTTCTGTCCAGTCCGTGCAAAATGAACTCATACCCTCATTCCACCACATATTTGTGCAAAAACTCCTGCTACAGTAGTTGAAAATTCAGAAAAATGGGCAGCTCTACCCTTCCACTTCACACACCAGAAAGCCCAGAGGGAAGCTTCCTGACCAGAACACAATCACAAAACATGCTGGGAGGCCGCCAGGAGTTCAGAATATCCAGCCTGTGCCTTGGCCAGTATGCTATAGGTTTTAACCACGGTCAAGTGCCACTCCTGCCACCTTAGTGTTTATTCCTGGAGATGCCCCACAAAACAAATGGCTAGTGGAGAATCTGCTCCCTCCCCCCTTAAGCCTTCTAAAAAGCAGTCAGCTGCCCATGTTGCTGACGCCAAGAGCTACAGAACACACGTTATGTGTGTCAGGGGCCTGGCTTCGCCATCTGGCCTGGCCCTTCAGAACTCACGATACAGAACTGGCTGGTGTCACTGACAGTTTTAAGGGTCTATTTATTTTGGTGTTGATTAGCATAGAGTGTAAATCTCTGAGTAAATCCACAAAGGGGTGGTGTTTGTGAAAAAAAGAATCAACAAGGCAAAAATTGTCTCAGTGCCTTCCTCTAGTTTAAATTATAAATCCACCTAAAAGCCCATAATGAAAAGGGAGGAGAATATGGAGGAAAAAAAGTTTTTAGTAAACTGATATGATTAAGGAAACAAAAGCAAAGAGAGTTACCAGACAGTAACAGCTTCTGCTCAAAGTGATTCTTGAAATAACAAACCTCAAAAATCAATCATTGACAACAAAAAACCCCCCAATATATCAATGGGTCATATTCCACTCAGCCCCAAATTTATTTCCTTATTTCCTCATTCCCAATTACTTGGAAAGGAAAATATGTAAAATATGAAGTTGTTTCTTTAAAATATCTTCAATACTTGCAGAATCAGGCCTCCAGACACCCCTTTCCTTTCTGGAAAATGCTTCTAGGCTCTGGCTAGGCTTAGGAAGGGCATTTGGCTTCAGTGAAAACAAAAGACCCACCAGAGAAAGTCATCCCCAGGGCTCCCTGCTGTTGTTTTATTATAGTAGGGGCCATCTTGCTTGTTATTCTGGAGCTAATGTATCTTTGCTCCTCCCCAGAAATGAGCCAGGAATAAAGACTAACAAGTACTTTCTCTTCAGAGGCACCTATAGCCTCTGGACTACACGCACCTCTTATCTCTCACGCCTTGGATGGCTGTGCCGGGGGTCCTGTGAACACTCCCAGTATGTGACATATATTCTTCCCCAAGCACTCTGCCCATTTCTTCCAGCTCTTCACTTGTCTTCCCCCGACATCTAATCTTAAGAGTCCAGGGGAGTGGCGACCAGGCACAGGTGTCCACGGAGGGGCGAGCATGTGGAAGGGCAGGCAGGATGCTGAGGGCAATGAGGACAAGAAGCAGGGCGGTGAGGGCATCCTCAGGCAGAACTGCCCCTCCTTTCCGTGCCACAGTACGCCAGGCCTTATTCAGCTTGCAGCCTTGGGTCTCATCTTTTCACATTCTTAAAGGCAAACTTGAAGCAAAAGTCAAAAATTACCCACGATGCTCCTGCACAGCCTCTTTCCTCTATTTCCTGTCCAAGGTTCTCCTTTCAGGGGTGAGTGAAAAGCCATGAAGATGTCTTGTCCGTTTATCCATGTGATTAAGAGAAATGTGGCTTGGGTCCCTTAAGAATGAAACCTTGGAGTCATCTTTCATTGCTTCTATTCTCTGCCAAGGTTTACAGAGTTCTGGTGGAGTGGTCCCCTCAGTTCCCAAGGTAAGAAAACTCCCAGGTGAGGACCAAAGTTACTTTTTTCCCAAAAGGAAGTGTTCCCACTAAGACCTACCATTTTTGTTATCCTTTAGTGTTTTTCAATGTCTTAAAAAGGAAGCACAGGCATTAGAAATGACGCGTCGACCCTAAGCAGCAAGATAGTGAGCTCTTTCAGAAAATGTTCAGGTGTTAAGGCACATTAATTATTTACTTCAACACCCAGTGCTTCTCTAGGCCACAATAAGCAGGCGATCTAGTGGAGAAGTCAGACTGAGAACAAACAGCCACACTTAAAATGTGTACCAGGAGTACAAATAATGATTATTTTCTGTTGAATAGAGTCAATTTGTAAGAATATGGAAATTCAGTATCTTCAAGTCTTCTACTTGAACTAAAAGTAGTATACAAATTTTATTAGAAAAGCTAAAGGATTTTTATTTACTTGACTGCTTTTATAAACATCTTTATTACATGTTATGATTTTACTGAAATATATTTGACATATAACACTGTGTAAATGTAAGATGTACCACATGTTAATTTGACACATTTAAACATTATGATATGATTGCCATTGCAGTGATAATTAAAACCTCTATTGCATTACATAATTATCCTTTCTTTTTAGTGGATGGAATCAGTAAGTTCTAGTCTCTTAGCAAGTTTGATGATTATAATGCAATATTGTTGTCTATATTCACTATACTGTGCATTAGATCTCTAGGTCTTATTTACTACTAGTTGCAAGTTTGTATCCTTAAACAACATCCGCCCTATCACTCCCACCCCCTGAAGAATTTTTAAATTTATATTTTTAATCTTGAGATTTTTAAACAAGGGGAAAATGGATATAAAACCTATTTCATTATATGCATAACAGGCCTCCAAAGGAAACCAAGAAACTAATAAACAGGGGCTACCTACCTACGAAAAGAAGGGCCAGGGGACAGAATGAAAAGATCTTTCTGTTTTATACATACTATATCTATTTTAAAATCTTTTCTATTTGAAACTTTTGAATGTATTTCTTAAAGACAATTTTAAATATAAGCTTGCATTTTTTTTAAAAAAAGAGAAATATAAAATTTAATTCTAACTGAAATTACACATATACAAAAAGTACCAAATGGCACTTTACTGTGGTTCCTTAAAATATATTTATTTACGGGCCGGCCGAGTGGCGCGATGGTTAAGAACTCGCTTGGGATGCCAGAGGGCCCCGGTTCGGATCCCACATATGAGGGCCAGTGACACTNGCCACTCAGCCGGCCCAATTACACAACTTTTACCCAAACAATATATGGCAACAGATTGATGCAGAAGCAGGTGTAACAATCTAGCTATCTTCTGTTAACATTAGACATGTACAAAAATACAAAAAAAAGTCACTCTTCTCATGTAGTTCTCTTGTTTGGGAAAATAA